TCCTTGCATTGAAATGGGCCAGGTCAAGCGCCATAATACTTAACTATAAGTTAAGAGCGTGGTCATGGACAAGTTCTGCCATGATTCAAAAAGTAACAGCTGGATTAGGACCCTGCTAGTGTTAGGAAAGATTACTCTGGCCTGAGCACTGCAGCCTGAGACAACAGCAAGATGTCCCCAGGAGAGCCACCCTACAAGCACAGTATATCTCTTACTGTGTCCATACAATGTAACTAATATTAAGAAGTAGAATTAAGATGTTAATTAAGATGTTAATTAAGTTATTGGACTAAGGAGAGGAGAAACACCCCTAAGTGGTATTTTGCCCTTGAGTGGAAGAAGGGCTTTCATATATTGAGCGTGCTACCAGCAGGAGTGTGGTTACTATCCCCATTGCAGGGAGTTGGAAAAGTCTAGGAGAGACCAGGACTGTGAGATGGAGCCTGGAGAGACAAGAGAGACAAGCACAGGAGACAGGGAACGAGGGGCAGTGTGAGACTGGAATGCAGAGTTTAGTGAAACTGGAACAGGCGCATGGGAAAAATGGAATAAACAACAACTGATCACCAACCAGCCCAGCCCTCGTTTCCTCCTTTGCCCACCCATGGCATTGGCCATCTCAGGAGGGGAAGTGGCCCGAGACCACCGAACACAGGTGGTGAGAGAGAGCCACGAGGATTTTTAGTCACCTGGTGAATACACCAAAAAGCTAGTCAAGTAGTAAGCTATTATAAAGAATTTAAAGAACGTAAAGAACTTTGGGAAAAGGCAGAAAAACCTCTTCAGTTCAAAAAGAGCGGGGAAAAAGGAATGATGGTTACTTTATAACTGGATAAAACCTTTAATGTAAACTTGGTAGGACCTTCACACTCTTCACACATCTTCTGCACCAATGATTTCAAAGAGCTAACATGACACTGACCATGAGGAGATGTTATAACCAAGAATGGTCCTCCTTTTTCAGAGACAATCACACAAGCTTGTCAATACACTTCTGATTGGTAGATATCTACTTGGACATGGGAATTACTCCACATGCTCTGAGAAATCGTTTCAAAATTAAATATTTGAGGGAAAAGACCACACTCATGACTCTACACAGATCATTCATGTTTCTTTTATTCATTAAGCATTTATTTATTGAGTGCCTACTACCTAAACACCAATTTTCTAGTTGCTGGAATTGAATCTATGATTAAATAGTAAAGCCTCTTGCTGTCTTGAGATTCACAGGTATGCAATCAGCTAATCTTTGACAAAGGAGTAAAGGAAGTGAAGTAAAGCAAGAAAAGCCTCTTCAACAAATGGTGCTGGGAAAATTTACCTATTAGAGATTTAAAAACTATTAACTCAGAACTCTACTGCACTCCATGAATTGACAATAGTCAATTCAAGATTGAATGAAGACCTTGAAGTCAGCCCTAAATCCAAAACTGTACTGAGGAAAACATAGGCAGAATAATCTTCCATGACTCTGAATCTAGAGGATCTTCAATGATCCAAAGTGTTAGTTCACTGTCACAGTCACTGTCCACTGTCACTGTCCTCCTGTTGTTCATCGATTTGCTCGAGCGGACCCAGTAACATTGTGAGACTTGTTACTGTGTTTGGCATATCGAATACATCACGGGTAGCTTGCCAGGCTTTGCTGTGAGGGTGAGATACCCTCGGTAGTTTGCCGGGCTCTCCAAGAGGGGTGGAGGAATAGAACTCGGGTAGGCTGTGTCAGCCACCTGCAAGGCAAACGCCCGACCCACTGTGCTATCACTCCAGCCCCAATGTGTTAGTTAAACAAATAAAAACAAACAAATAGGATTACATAAAATCAAGAAACTTTTGTACCGCAAAAAAAAAATGATAACCAGAATATAAAGACAATCCACTGGCTGGGAGAAAATAAGATGGCACATAAACCATCCAACAAAAGGTAATATCCAAGATATATAAGGCTCTAGTAAAACTTAAACAAAAAACAACATCAAAAATGTAGGGAGAAGAAATTAATAGAAGTTCCTCAAAGAAGACTTATAGATAGTCACTAGGTATATGAAAAGACGTTTTGCATCACTGATCATCAGGAAAATACAAGTCAAAACAGCAATGAAACTCACACACATTAAAAGAATAAAAGAAGAAAAAAAGAAAATAATCAGTGTTGATATGGTTGTGGTTGGAAAGGATTCTTCATGCACTGAAGGTAGAAATGTTGACTGTCAATCTTTTTTGGAAAACAATTTGGACACTTCTAAAAAAAAAAACTAAGAATTAAATTTGTATATGGCCCTGTAAGCCACTTCTTGGCATCTATCCCCAAGGACCCAAAAACTCTATTTAGAAAAGACATTTATGCTCCTCCTGTTTTCACTGCAGCATTACTTACAATAAGCCAAAATCTGGAAACAAAGTAAGTGCCCAAGAACAGATGACTGCATAAGGAAACTGTGGCCACAACAAGCATGGAACTGAAGGGTATCACGCTGATGAAGTCAGCCAGAAGGCGACAGATACAGAATAATCTCTCTGTTATAAAGAAGCACGGTAAGGAAATAGCGAATGACCAAAGTCATTAGACAAATCTAATAACCTGTCCATAAAATGAATTTCACGACGATAGTGAGATTTGAGTGGGAAAGGGGAGAAGGGAGGGATTTTTGTTGTTATTGTTGTTGTTTAATTTTTTTTTGAGTCACTGTGCGAGACAGAGTTATAAAGCTGCTCACGGTCAGGTTTCAGACATACAGTGTTCCATGACCCATCGCTTCACCAGTGCACATTTCCTACCACCAATGACCCTAGTTTCCCTTCCACCACACTCCTCACCTTGTCTCTATGTCGGGCACTTTCCTTCTCTCTCTCTCTCTCTCTCTCTCTCTCTCTCTCTCTCTCTGTCCTCTCTCTCTCTCTTTCCCTCTCTCTCTCTCTCTCTCCTTTGTGGCATTATGGCTTGCAATATAGGTACTGAAAGGATATCAATTTTGTTCCTTTACTTGTCTTCAGCATGTACTTCTTATCCAGAGTGATCATTTTCAATTATCTTTGTCATGGTGGTCCTTTCTCTATTCCAGCTGCCTTCTCCCACAGCACTGGAGGTAGGCTTCCAATCATAGACCAATCCTCCTGGACCTTGCTTCTACTGCCCTTGGTTATTCATCTCATATTATGTTTTTTTTTAATCCCACAAATAAGTCGAATCATTCTATGTCTATCCCAGAAGAGGGAAGTTTTGAGACTGGGAAGTGTGGGTATAGAGCTGAGGGGGGATCCAGGACAATGGAGGAGTGAAACAGATATTCCAGTGGACTGAGAGGCTTGGAATGCTGTAACAAGTAACACACCATGACTTAAGAAACAAAAACTGACACAAAGATAATAGCAAAGGTAAGTGGATACTGGTGGTGGTGGGGGGGGGGGGGGTTGATGTGTCCATACTCTAAAGTGAGCAAATAAATAAAATTAATTGATTGAAAATAATAATTGTGATAAAATTAACACAGTGGAGGATGTATGACTATTATATGAATTAACAAATATAAGCAGAGTATTCAAGTAACAAACTCAGAACAAACCCTTTGAGCAAAAACATGGAGTTAGAGCAACATTCCAATAAGCACAAAGACATGAAGCAGGGATATGCCTGCAATCAGGATATTCATGTTCTGCATAAACATGTAATAACAAATCTTCATTGGTTACCCAAACTCTTTAAGATGAAAGGCGTGACCCTCTGCCTATTCCCCCTGGCAGCTCAGTGGCCACCATCTTCCAGAGGGCATTGGGCCAGCAGTGATGAGACACAGGGGACCTCATAGGATAGGGGTGGAGCTCATCCTTGTCCTCCCCTGCCACAACAAGACCCCAAGTCGCCACCCACAAATGGCTCCTCCAGCTACTGATTAAGCTGATTAACGACCATGATCTCAGAGACACACAAACGAATCTTGGATCTCAGCAGCTTTGGGCATAAATCCTTCCAGATTTATTTACTAAAATTTCAGAATTCCCAAATGATGCAGCTGTGATTTCATGTGCTGTTGACATTGGCATCATGTGCTATTCATAATCAGCAATAGAAAACAAATTGTCTAATGTTGCCTTTTTGGCAGATCTGAGTGTTGGGGTAGCACTGTAGCACTCTCCCCCCATTGTTCATCGATTTGCTCGATTGGGCACCAATAATGTCTCCATTGTGAGACTTATTGTTACTGTTTTTGGCATATTGAATATGCCACGGGAAGCTTGCCAGGCTTTGCCGTGCAGGAGGAAAACTCTCGGTAGCTTGCCAGGCTCTCCGAAAGGGGTGGAGGAATTGAACCTAGATCGGCCACATGCAAGGCAAACACCTTACACGCTGTGGTAAAACCCCAAATACTAATGGTGGGTCTGGTGTCAAAATATTGAATGGAATCAAAGTAGAGAGAGAGTAATGTGGAAATCATCTGCCACACAGTTAGGGGAAGGGTGTGGAATCGGATATATACTGGGGGTTTTGGTGGTGGAAAATGTGCACTGGTGAAGGGACAGGTGTTTCATCACTGTATGACTGAGACTTAAACCTGAAAACTTTATAACTGTTCTCATGGTGATTCAATAAATAAATTTATTTAAAAAAATAGAACATTGTATGACTGAAACCTGATCATGAACAGCCTTGTAACTGTGTATCTCACAGTGACTCAATAAAAAAAAGTTTTAAAAATTAAAAATGAAAGATGAAAGGTGTGACTTACAGCATAGATGAGGAAATTTGGCATGGAGGAGATCTCATCCTCACTTATCTCCCATGGCCCAACCACAGCAGCTCCCAACAGCAGTGCTCTGCTCCCCTCTATGAATTCCCCATGCCTTGCTTATAACTATCACTCAGCTGTGTTGAGGTGCAGAAGAATGACAAAGAATGAGACTGTTAGAATTAAGAAGACCTTGCAGACTCTACCAACAATCATCTAGACACTCTCGTAATTATGATAGGATCAGAAAGATTTTTAAAAATTACTGAATTTGTGCTCGTTTTGGCAGCACATATACTAAAATTGGAATGATACAGAGATTAGCCTGGCCCCTGTGCAAGGATGACACACAAATTCTTGAAGTGTTTCATATTTAAAAAAAAAAAAGTCAACTCCCAGGGGCCTGAGAGATTGTATAGTAAAAAAATAAAATAAAATAAAATATCCTAACAAATAGACTCAAATACTATCGATCATCCATTCTCTTTGTAAATAAAGCTAATGAAACATTATGAAGGTACAAATGTTACCCTCAGTAGTTCTTACTCCCATGATTGTGCCAATTTGTGCTTGCTGACAAAGAAAGATTGCCCAAAAAAAAAAATAAAAATAAAAATTACTGAATTTTGAGTACTTTAAAGAAGAGTCAACGGATTTTTGCATATTTTTTCTACATAAAAATAAAATGATATAAGGAAGAGTTTGAGCAGGCCACGATGAGATATTCAGTTTTGCAAGTAATGTGACGTTCCTGTCACTTCTGATTCCCTGTTGGAGGACGCTCCCTGAGAATAACAGGGAAATGCCTAATGGGCTGCAGTCAGTGTGGCTGGTTCTTCCACCATAGCTATACTTGGCTTTATCGCCAACGCCATTGTTGTAAATTGTAAGATACTGATGGTCACCACTGTCTTTCAGTTTGCCTTGATTGCTTCCTCCTTTGCTCTCTTAGGGGATTAATAAAACACAGATTCTCCCATTGATCTACTTCAGTTTCAGTCTTGAAACTACTATTCACAACTCTTTTCCTTTTGTTCATGTGATAATTCTGTAATCAGAGGAAATCTGGAGCATAATAAAACTCCAACAAAAAAATCTTCAAAAGACTAAATTATCCCAGAAATGATCTGGAATCACACACACACACACACACACACACACACACACACACACACACAGAGAGAGAGAGAGACTTTCTCTCTCTCTCTCTCTCTCTCTCTCTCTCTCTCTCTCTCTCTCAGTGCACTGGGAAAAAAAGCATGGTTTAAATATTGTCACTTTAAGACAATTTAAGTGAGATATTTGCATAATTGGTACATAATTTCGAATGCTCCCAAAATTTCTTATTAAACTAATGTCTTTCAGCTGCTATATCTGTGGTTTACAAATTATCAGAAGCTTGGGACATTGTGGTCACATAAAGAGCCAAAGAAAAAGTTGTCATTTCCCAAATTAAAAAATGATCTTAGAGCAAATAGGGCTGGAGCGACAGCACAGCGGTAGGGCGTTTGCCTTGCACACAGCCAACCTGGCCAACCCGAGTTCGATTCCTCCACCCCTCTCGGAGAGCCCGGCAAGCTACCGAGAGTATCTCGTCCGCACGGCAGAGCCTGGCAAGCTCCCCGTGATGTATTCGATATGCCAAACACAGTAACAACAAAGTCTCCAATGGAGACATTACTGGGTCTGCTAGAGCAAATCGATGAACAACGGGAGGACAGTGATACAGTGATACAGAAATACAATGAGCAAAGAAGCAAGCTGCAACCCATCCCTTGTTCACAGATTGGTAGTTTCCACTAAGGTCAACCTCCTAAAAGGAGCTGTGGCAGGGGCACTCTTCTAAATTACCTGGTGATTCTAGCAATTGATTCGGTGAACATCTGTTCTACCATTCAGTACTTTCATGTTCAGTACACAGTCCTATCCTGCCTTCAAGTAGTATACATTCTAACTATGAGGTATAAAATAAGGATATTTTGTGAAATTCTTGAGTTGGAATACTAAAATATTCCAACTCAAGATAAGCAAAATTTTGACTTCCTCACAACTGTCACCACTCCTTGATAAATGTTAGGGAGCTATTTCCTTTCAGGTTTCCATCAACCCCTCTTTCTCCTTTATTTGAGGAAATGTTCATCTGAGCAAGATTACCCACTCTTTCCATTGTATAGTTATACTACTTAAGGCAGAACTGATTGGGAGCAGCTTTTATAATTAGTCTCATGTCTTGAAAAGGAAAAATCTTGGAGTCTGAACAATTTTTTGCAGATTCCCAGATGATTAGTGTTTCCAGACAACCTATTTGTGGTGAATGAGTCCATGTTCTGTTCCATTCCAAATGAATCAGAGTCACTATTGCTATTTTAATAACCTCCTAGTAGGGTACAGTGACTAAGAGCTCAAGTTCTCAAGCTAGGATCCCCTTCCAAGTTATGCTCTGCTTCTTCTGAGCTGGGGATACTTTTGAAGCAGGCAGATAGAGGGACCCTGGCAACCCCAATAATAACACTCTGACCAATAACACTTTGACAAATAATTTAATTTCAACAACTCTAAACTGAGATTCACAATAAAACCTTGACTATGGTATGGATCAACTGACATAGATTTATGAAAGGTAAATAATAAAATTTCAGGAACCATCCTTCTGTTGGAGGCTGAAGCAGAACATGAATGGAATCTTTTTTCTATAGAGTTTTGGTATAGAGCTCTATATCATATGTTGGTCAAAATAGCGCAAATGCTTTATTCATAAGCTATTTAAGTCAACAAAAGGAGGTTTCAATATAAAATTGAGCTCAGGGCAGAGAGAGCGTGCAGAAGGTAAGGTGCTTGCTCACCTTTTCACAGGAGGCTGACCCAAGTTTGACATATGGTTCTGCAACTACCAGAGGTCACTCCTGAGCCAGGAATAGCTCCTGAGTGGTGTGTGCCCAAACCCCTTAATAAATAAAAGTAAGCACAAAGTTGTTATAAGAAAAGTAGAAATTTATAGCAGAAGAGCATAGTGAGGAAGTCATTAAAAGGAAAATTACTTACAAGAAATAGATACCAAGGGTAAGAGGATTGCTATAAATCAACTTATCATGAATCTTGCTGAATACAGACCCAGGAGATCAGCTGTCAGGTTTTATATTTCACCACAAAGTGACTCCCTATAAATTCTGTTTTTGGCTCCTCATAAAGCCTGATCTTAGATCAAAGTCTAATTTTTAATATGGCTAATAGAATCCTGACTAAAGTTTGGCCATGAAAAAAATCTTTTTCGGCACGGAAATTCTGAATACTTAAAAGGTATAATGTCAATGAACTATTATTTATTACAATACGAATGCCTACCATAGATTCTATTATCATGATATCATCTGTATGTGTCTTCTCCTGAGATCCTAGGACTCCTCTCATTGTATACCAGACTATGGCAGTTCGGAGACAGCCAGCACCCTTCTCCTTAAGCAATTACGCTTGACCTGAGGGTGTAGTCACACACCAGGGGTGCAAATGGGAAGCAAAGAATGGAAGGAGTGCCCCCCATCTCTTGAAATCTACAGGAAAAAGTTCCAATCATGACCTAAATGTTGACTAATGGAAGTCATACCCTCAGGCAGTACCTCATACAATATGTAGTCAGATCCTCTCCAGGAAAAAAATTGGGAGAAGGACATTTTTTACTGTTCCTTCAGCATTAAATCCGGGACCATAAACACAGGGTGTGCTCATATGCCCTTTAGTAACTATTTCTCTGTTTTGATGTTCTTCTGCTGGATTCTTGAGGCTCTGATAGAGAGGTGATGGGAGTTTAACCCTGGGTGACAGCCTTAACAATTGGAACCATATGTGTGTGCCAGTTCCTTAGTTCTTCAGAAATAAGCTGAATATTGGGATTTCCTTCTCTTGTACGGCACTGTTCCAAGCGTAGTATTTATAGCGAAAGTGTAGTATTTATGGAGAAAGTGTGCCAACCTATACCACCCATTTTGATGTATTTTCTTTTACCTGATATATCACCCAGTGGTTTCTCCATTAACACTGAATGTAAACACAGTGTAAAAATGGAAAATCTATGTACCCCCCCCCCTTGGTATCTTGGTAATGTCCTGAAAGTTATTTTGTTTTGTTTTTAAATATTAGCAGATTTCCAAAGTAGACTCAAGTGAAGCTATTCATTCTCTTCTCCTCATTTTTTTTTTGGCATGGGGCTGCATCTGCTGGTGCTAAAGAGATGACTCCTGGTAACTCTCTACTCAGGGATCATGCCTGATGGGCTTGAGGGATCATATGGGATGCCAAGTATTGAACCTGGGTCAGTTGCATGCAAGGCAAGTGTCCTACCTGCTGTACTATCGCTCCAGTCCCTTCTCCTCAGTTTGACTACTACCAAATGAAATATTACAATAAAACAAGTTCTCAAGTGAACTCAATTCATGACAGAGTTTAAATACATTATTAAATACTCTCCTCAAGATTCAGAGCACATCAACTAATACTAAACATCTCTAAGGGGCTGGAGAGAAAGCACAGCGAGTGAGGCCTAGCCTGGCACATGACTGACCCAGGTTCAATCCCCAACACCCTAAATGGTCCCCCAAACCTGACCAGGAGTGATCACTGAGTGCAGAGTCAGGAGCAAGTCCTGATAACTTCCAGGTGTGGCCCCAAAGCTAAAAATAAACAAATAAATATATATGATAGGATTCAAAATACCACAACACAACTGACATTGCTCAAGGGACCATATAGTGCCAGGGACTTACCCCGATGTTCCTGTATGCACAGCATATGCTCCAGCTCTTTGAACAATCTTTTTGGCCAGTGGCACTTTGTTTTAACTATACACTATGGAGGAAATATCTAGACAAAAAATTTGAAGTCATTTCCTTCATTAAAGGGAGCGACATAGTTTAAATGCAATAAGAGTCAACTTCAGTAAGATCACAGAGGTCCCAATCAGTAGATTAATTAAAACAAAGGGTTGAAGAGCAAATTCAATTTCTTAGGACAAAGACAGTTTAAAACCTTAATTAGCCAACACAATTTTCTAAAACAAACATTTGAATAAACCTTGAGGTTAACAAAGTTTTAATATTAAAAGTTGTGACATTCATGAAATTTACATACAAGTGGTACAACATGGAAAGTATCATGCTAAGCGAAATGAGTCAGAAAGAGAGGGATAGACATAGAAAGATTGCATTCATCTGGGGGATATAAAGTAACAAAATAGGAGATTAATACCCAAGAATAGCTGAGATCAGCACCAGGAGGATTACTCCGTAGCTTAGAGGCCAGCCGGGCATTCTAGGGGAAAGGGCAGCTCAGATAGAGAAGGGAACACCAAATAAAGGGTGTTTGGAGGATCCTCCCAGGAGGGGAG